TCACAAAGTGCTGCACCTGCCACGCAATCTGCACCTGGAGCTGGAGTTGCCTGGAGCTTGAGCTGTTGAAACCAGAGCTGGTGTATGAGCGGTGTATGATGAGTGGTGTATGATGAGTGGTGTATGATGAGTAGTGTATGATAAGTGGTGTGTGATCCGTGGTGTGTGATGAGTGGTGTATGATGAGTGGTGTATGATGAGTGGTGTATGATAAGTGGTGTGTGATCAGTGGTGTGTGATGAGTGGTGTATGATGAGTGGTGTATGATGAGTGGTGTATGATGAGTGGTGTGTGATGAGTAGTGTATGATGAGTGGTGTGTGATGAGTGGTGTATGATGACTGGTGTGTGATGAGTGGTGGATGATGAGTGGTGTATGATGAGTGGTGGTTGAACAGCTGTTGAATGTCCGTAACACGGAAGTTTTGCACACTAAACTTCCTTTGATAATATAACTATTGGAATGTCCAGCAATCAGCCACATCTAGCCTCTGCATCTGGCTTGCCAATCACCACGTAACAAATAGGACAGGTGTTCTTGCATTGCCTCATGTGTGGCACGAGCAGGGGGATCAAGTTTACTCGGGTATATAAAACTTGAAATCCCACAGGGCGAACCAAAGCAATACTGCGAATGCACACAGGTGCAATCAAATGCGAGCCAAAGCGCGTCAGCCATTTCTTGATGCAAGGGGCGTGGAACCTTGCACGGTGCATTACAAGTCCAGATGCGGCCAATTTAACAATTCTACATTATACTGGTCACAAAGGGCTCAACGAATGTCCACACGGGAGCTTGGCCACATCGCCACTGCTGAGGTTAGACAAACCTCAGGTGAGGCAAAGGCAAAAAGGTGTTGAAAACGAGGGTATCTCAGTATCTCTCTAATTGATGTCCCTTGTTGGGCCTAGACGCATACCCCACATTCGCCGTCTGACTTCTCCCAATCACAGAGTCTTGGCAAATTATCAACGTGACCTGCTCAAACAAACCACAGTTCCACAGGATATGCCATAGGTACTGCCATAGGTGAGCACAAGTGCATAAAGGCAACAGTGCCTTCTTCCAGTGTATTCCTGGTCGGAACAGCCTCATCAAGCTTGCAAAGCTTCCTTGGTCCAAAGGATGTCAAAAGAACACAGCAAAGCGACAGGTTCACCGTGCTTCACCGTGCTTCACTCAATGCGTCCGAGAGACTCATAATCCTCTGGTGTCAGCTCTCGATGCCTTACACACTCGTGCCAATCGTTGAACGGTGACACACCAGAGCATCCTTGCTCCTAGTAGCGTCCTTGCTCCTAGTAATACGGCCAGGAGCCCCTAGTAGCGTCGGTGCTCCTAGTAGCGATGCCAGGAGCCCCTAGTAGCTTCTTGTTACTCAGCCAATCGTTGAATCATTGAACTCTGAAAAGTGTCTACAGTCACGGGGCATCATGCTGACTGCCTCATTCTCCCGAAGCCCACAAGGAAGCATCACCTCAGAACTAGGCATAGTTTGACCCTACATGCAGCTACTAGCAACATCCAGCAATCTGGAAAAATCCGTTTGTGCTTCGGACCGAAAGCTGCTGCGTAAGTCCAGTGGCATCTTCTGATGACTCAAAGTCAGAGTCCAACATTTCCCAGTCCCAATCATCTCCACCAAGCGGGCTCCGGATGAGTCTCGCAATGTTTCTCAGGGAATGTATCCGGTACAATCCTTAGGGGAGCAAAATCCAAATTCAACGAATCATTCAAAAGAATCCCCAAGGCAGTGCACACACACAACTGGGGAGCCTACGCTGAAGGTATGAACTCTTGGGTCTCCTCACTCTCTGCCGCTGTGCCTGGTCGCAGGTGTTGCAACACATCAGCCAATCAGTCTGACATAGCCTGACCCATTGACCTAGCCACACGGTTGCAGCATCACACACGTCACATGCCATCGAAAGAATGTGATTTTCTGTGCATCCAAGTTGCGGCGGTCCTTTGCTGGAACGGAGTTTCACAAGTCAGCTGGCATTTTGCAGTTTGATTCAACTGGTTGATCAAACTCCTAGACTATATACATAATAACTGCATTTTCATGTTCATAAACGTCCACTTCGGCTGTCTGCCACCGGCTCCAAGTCGCCGCTGCTCCAGCGACCCGATGCGCAAGTCGGGTGCCAATCTCCTCAATTTTGATAACTTGTGCTGTAGTGGACCTCACTGCCTCGTTTCACCCATCTTTGATCCATCTTTGATATTCTTTGCAAGAGAGCGGCTGGAATGCAATGTCGGCACTATGTGGCCCCAACACAGGCGTACGACCAGAGCGCCTCAATTACAAACCGATGTTAAAACATGTTAAAACCCTGTCCAAAAAACGGGCAAGAGTTGAAGGGCACGCATGGCTTGATGTTGCCAAGGTGCTTTCGGCGAGCCTGAAGAACAAAAAGACAAAGCCTGAAGCAAGCTGCACTTGGGAAGAGGGAGACAGAGAGAGCTCCGAATGAAGACCCGGTATGACGTGGTACCCTTTTACTTCAGAAACTGTTGCAAATATGTTTATAGCTTTACAAACATGTAATAGGATATATGATATAACAGAACTAGTTCTAACTAGTTCATTTGGGGAAAACTCTCTGGGCCTCTTCCTGGACACTCTCTCGACTCGCAGCGGCATGGCGACGCGTCACGTCACATCCACGCCGCTTTTGAGGAGGCAAAACTTGCGGAGCAAATGAAACACATTTTGCATGGACTTGTTGTCGGGCTCTACAGTAGATTCTTCTAGTGCAGCATTGGTGTGCCACCATGGTGTCCACCATGGTGTCGAAACCTGAAAATAGAGATATTGAGTGATGGCCTCAATCCAGGCAAAAGGTATCGTATGCAGTTCGTCCTGCAAAGGGCAAGCAAATCCAACCAAGACTGCCAATTCACTGCTGAAATGGTTAGTCCTGAACCAGACCCAACTTTTGCGAGCACTGAGTGCATGCAAGGACCTGGGGCAGGGTGAGCCAAAAACAGAAGCCTTCACACATTTCAACAGAAGAGAATAGAGATAACTTCAGTGTCACTCTGGGATCCAGGCCGAGGTAGGGACTCCACCTCTTCAAGGCAGTTGTAAAATCATCCGTGCACGACCGTGTTGCATGCACTTCAAACGTTGCAAAGTGACTGACATCTTAAACGTGGCAGGGGTGCCAATACAAAAATCATCCTGCGGTCGGACAAATTCAACCTCCACAGACCCTGTCACCCAGTCGACCTTAGCCACGAAAGAGGCAGGGAAACACTTGGAGACTGATTTGAAGCTGGAATGCATGTTCACAAATGAGCACTCCAAGAGCTTCGACATCCAATTGCTCAAGAAATGTACAGCAAGAATTCAAGCAGCAAGAACTCTGCACTCTGAACATCTTGCGGCACTCTGCACCAGTCTTGCGCTCTGACGCTGTGTACTCGAGCTGCCCCTGGTGTCGAGGACTTCCGCTGGTCAAAGTCTCCGAAGGCGCTGACCCATACACCCTCGACCTCAAACAGTCAAAGCTGCAAACATTAATGTATGCCAATAAAGAAATGGCATTAACTAATTATAGCTTATATAACTTATTATACAACATATATTAAGTTGGAATGTAGTAATTATATGTAATTATACATAGTTATATATACGCGCTCATTCGTTCATGGACACCACACACATCATTATGTGTCATGCAACATCGTCTCATCATGTCTCATCTCCAGTCATTCGCTTGGGACTCTATTGAGGAATTGGCCAAAGGCACCAATCGTGACCGCCAGGCCAGTGTAGTGTCTTCATCACCTCAAGGAGTTTTCACAGCGCTGCGTCTTCCGGTGCGACATGGTGCCACACTGCGAAGACTCCGCTCTTAAGCACGTTGCGTGCGTGCCCAAACGAATCTAAGCAGCACCACTCCTGCAGTAGGCCATGGCGTCAGCGATGCGGTGTTAGCTCGCGCCAGGACCGCTTGAAATGGATTGAATGTATATATATATATGCAATTTTATAGATCTAAAATGTATGAATACTAGTAACAAAGGGCATCGCTACTAGCAAGCACCCCACGAGTAGATCCTGGCATTACTAGCAAGAAGCTACTAAGCTACTAAACTAGATGCTACTAGTAGTAAGATTCAAGCTACGACTTCTCAAATGGGTGATGACGGTGTCGTGAAGCATCACGTCCCAAGGTCGGCCGTCCTTCGAACCTCGCTCACGCATCCTCAAGCGGAAGCACAAAGGTGCTGGCTCCTTCCATGCCGGTTCGCAGAAACTGCTTGGCACACAAGCGGCACTGCCATGCTTCGGAGAGTCCTTGGGAAGCATCCAGCGAACCTGTGCTCCTCAGAGTCAGGCCATTTGCAGGTGCGGTGCAACAATCTTGCCATAACTTGTCTACACGAAAGTACGGCCACACATCAAAAATCATGACAGCTGGGCTCAGTTCTAACAATATGGTATCATACAATATTCATACATAATTAATTAGCTGTGTGCGCCTAGGCCAAGGTCAATCACCATCTTTTTCTGAAGTCACGGCATGGTGTGCCGTAAAGGATCTCAAGCCAAAACCAAGGCAAAGCTAAACTCGTGAGATTTGGCAAGGTTCGGCTGATGCTGAGGACCGTCAACATTGGCGGAAGGGGCGGCAGGGGCTGGACACCTGCCTCAGCATTCGCCAGAGTCCGATTCAACACCCTCACTCTGCCACGTCCGGCCTTCAAAACCCGGCAAGGTTGGCTAGGCCTCAGTGCGAGTTGCATGACTGGCTTTGCCGGCCCCCTCACTTCGACCGTTTTGAGTGACTGGCTCGCTCCAGTGGACGTTCTCACCACCAAATGCAGCAGAAAGACCGACAGACACCTGACACCGTCCAGCAAATGCAAAGAGATTCACCCTATACAAAGAATTTTGAGTGCCTCAATGACACGAAATCAACATGCCTCGATCTTGTGCATCTCGTCGGGAAGGTCGTGGATGGTTAGCTCAGGTCGGCGCAGCCTTCACTTGGATGCCGAATGCCTTTCACTGCCTACTCTGGTCCTGGCTGCACCGTCTCTCACATTGGAGCATGATTTGGTGGCATTTGGAGTTGGAGCCACATATCATTATGTATTAGCAATTTAGCCTCTTTAGCTGCGTGGCCATCATCTGCGAGCTGAATACAATACCGATACTTATGCCATCAAATGCCGATCTCAAGGAGCTCCCAGGAAAGCAATTCACTTTGCCCGCACACGGTGCCGCTCCGCATTTTGCCTTGGCAGCTTTCAAAAGCGCAGCTTTGCGCGCACGTGCTTGTCGCTTTTCTTCGCGCAAGCGCCGTGCAAGCACCCTCTCAGGAGACAAGGTACGGTGCTTCCTCGTGTCACTAATCACCGGGATGGGAACTGGCTTGCTGGGCACTTCCTGTGACGAATCTGTCCAAAAAGACCAGCAAAAGGCACGCTGCCAATATCCATTCCTCCCTTTGACCTGCTCCTGGGACAAGTGTAATTGCGGATCACTTGCCAGTTTAAAGCCATTTGCTTCCACTGCAGCCACCCATTCGCTTTTCCTGGCTGCTTCGTTGCTGTGCAGTCCAACTGTTCCCTTAGTGTCTGCGACAATGAGAAGACCTTGCCCAGAATCCTTCAAGAGTTGACGGGCTTTTGCTGTAGCCACACCTCTGGCTTGGGGACTTGGCAACACTGAAAAGAATAAAGCCATAACAATACCATCAAAGTGCCGTGCGGGAAGTCCACCCAGTGGGCCTTCCATTTCGACCGAGTCTGGAGGACCAACAGGAAGCTCTAAAAAGTCACATGCCAAAACGGACGAGTGGCCTGGAGCCAGGTCCACTGCAGTGACCTCCAAGACATCTCCATGATGTTGCCCAAAGTAGTTCGTGCAACTGCCCACATCGAGAATCCGGGGGCGATCAACAAGAACTCTTTCGGCGGCTTCGCATACTGCCACAACCCAATCATCTTCAGAAAGCCTGGGCAGGCTCTGGCCGTGCCTCTCCTCAACTAATCGTCGCAGGGGATGTGTCAGCACAGTCACTCTGAATCTCTCTTCGCGCTTTCCAGTGAGCCATTTGGTCCGCAAGTCACGATCCAAAAGAAAATAATGCCGTATGGTTTCAAAGCACCATTCCTTGAATGCCTTGCTCCATGTCTTCAAACCATGCACCGCCGCGGCATCCACACTTGCTTCTTCACCCCCCGTCAAGGATGGAGGGATTGTGGAAAAAGCGACGCTGCTCTGGCAAAGGCTTCGTAGCTGCCGCTTTCGAATCACTGCCCTAGCTGCGAATCTGCGCGCGTCTGCCACACTAAAATCGGCCAAGTGTGTTACAGGATCATGTGCAAACCATCTGACCATGTTGTCCAGCGCTTGATGCAATCGCCTTCTCAACTCGCGAGAGGGGTTACCTTCAGGTGAGCTCAAATCCATAAGCCCATCTAGCCTTCCAGCTCGATCTTTGGAGCCAAGAGCCAAGATATATCCGAATTCCTTGGACAAATTGTTTAAAAGCTCGTGGGCCAGGGGCATGGCCTCAGTGTGCTCGGCAGCTTTTCCGGCATTCACTAAACAAGTGGCCAGTTCATTGGCCAAATACCTTGGTGAGAGAGGTACCTCGGCATCAACACCGTAGGCCCAGGGGAACGAGTCGACATCGATGACACTCACGCTTCCACATCCCCTCGTGACCAGCCAGAGTGGTCTTGACACTTTGGTGCGCAAGCTGAGGAAGAGAATGCCTACACAAGCTGGGACGAAAGTGTTTGAACACTTCTTGCCTATCTCCAGGCCGTCTTGGAATTGAGTCAACCTGCTCGGTTGTCTCGAGAGTTGGTTCAAGTGAAAGCGGTTGGGGCTGCCTTTCACACTGCCTCTCAACAGGGTCGCCATGGCTAGGGCCGACAAATGATTTATTTATTGATTACAATGATTAAAGGGTATATTTTTGCAAGATTGATGCGGAACAGGTAGCAACTTCGAGTGGAGTAAAGATCAAAAGAAACGAAACCCATTCGTTCTAAGGACAAATTGGGATGGATATCGCGGATCTGCAAATCTGCAACAAATGACAGTGAGGGAAGCTGACTTCATGCATGCTGTGGCCTCAAGGTATTGCAGCAAGTCCGAGTGCTCTTGAATGACGCATGCGGGTCCACTTCGGGATTAGGGTGCACTACAAGACATTGGAAACAACAAAAGAAGGCCCCTGCGAGTGATGCATGTGAGACTGAGAACCGTATTTCTTGCTCATGATCGGACAAGTGTCAATATGTGTAAATATGTGTACAGGCTCAAAAAGCGAATAGAATAGACACAGTGCCTTTGTACAGATCCATCAGGTTGCAAGTGATGCCTTATAGGGTTTGCTTGAAGCTTGCTTCCCTCAAAGCAAGTGTGCTTTCTTTCGGTCTGAATTAAGGACATGGCCCCACGTTAAAAGCCGAGATCCACCGATTCTCAGGGACCACCTCTCTTTGGAACAGATTCAGCTGGAACATCGCACATCTTCAGCTCAAGGGCTGCTTGAGCCCAGTTGTTTTTCCTGGCCTCGTCAAACAGGACCTCATAGTGAGACACTTTGGCCTTGGATGCCACTTTAGCGTGGTGACAGCTCACTCAGTGACTCAACACAACTGTATTGTCCACTCACATTGCCTTGACCCAAGCTCGGTCGCAAGCGACAGTGCGAACAATTGTCCTGCACGGCCAACGACGCCCAGTCAAAACAAGTACTGGACACAAAGTGCTTCCAGTGGTTTCAGAATAATTGGCACTGGCACCGCAACAAGTTTCTTCTATATACCTGAGAAGGGGGGGTCGAAAGCCAGCAGCCGCCAGACGAGTGTCTCTTTTCCTGGCGGGCGTCGCAACACAAGACACATGGTCGGCAGCTTGCGAGTCAGCGGTGCCAGGGATGGTGATGGAGGGAGCAGAGAAGCAAGCCGGGCGGCGTTGGGATAAGTTTGGTATGAAAGAAGTAGTGAAAGAGAAATGCCATACGTTGTATGTTGGTGTAGGTCATCATCACAAGATATCACAAGGCAATGGCATGTGTTTGTCACACGCAGGAATGTATGCATCTTATGGAAGTTGGAAGGCGACATCAGTGTTAGCGGTGGTGGGATACCACGCGCGCGCAGAAAGACCTCCATAGTGAGCGTCGCCGCGCGCGCGAGTACGGCATGCGTTTAAATTATGTTTTTTTCTACATTTGGAGTGTTTGAAGTTTGCAACGCATACTGCGGCACGTCGAAAAGCGGCATGTGTTGATTTGGAAGAGTGAACGGGCACGTCTTAGCCGGGACACAGACGTTTGATACAGAAGGGGGGTCCAGTGAGAGTGCCATGGGCGCAAAGGAGTGAGGATTTGTGCCCCTATCGATGCACATGCCTGGACTTGAGTGAGTCATGTTCTGGCTCGATCCAAAACACAGCCTTTTTCCTTTAAAGGCGCCTTTACTAAACGATCCAAACACCTTCTTTATTCTTCTCTATCTTATCAACTCTGCGCCTTTCCCACTCAGAGGCCTTGACTTTGGCACCTGCGTGTGTAGATCTTTGGGCCGTGGACCCAGGCTGACTGGATTCGGCCAGGGCTGCCAGCAAAAAGGCGACGTCATGAGTCAGCAGCATATAGAATTTATCTATCTATCTATCTAACTATCTATCTATCTCTCTATCTATCTGTCTATCTATGTATGTATGTATCTATCTATATATCTATCTGCACCGGCAAGCCGGAAAAAACATTCGGTGCGCGTGGGCGCCGCGAGAAGCATCCACTCGACCGAGGACATGGTGCAAGTATAGATTTTGCTAGGGGACAGGAACCCTATGCGGATATGTAGTCAACCTCCGAGGCATCATCCCCACCGAAACTCAATCCAAATTCATGGACTTGAACTCATGTCACTTTCGGTTCTCTATGGCTCTATGGATTTCGCGAGTTACGGGTTGTCCTGGGAGCTCGTATCCTACATGCGGCTGCCGTCTGCTCTGTACGTGCATGGGTCCCTGTCTCCACTCGATTGCTCAATGCCCATTGTCCAAATAGACAAACTTGTGGATGGTGCCATCTCTGAAACACGTGTATCTTCGCACCGAAACAGCTGTTTCGCCCAAAGCTCGTCCCGGTGGAAAGTCGCCGAAAGGCAAACCCCCCCGGCGATGCGAGTGATGCAACCTGGGCGAAGACTTCAACAAGTTAGAATGAACAGGGATCTAAGGATAAGGGATATCTTTTGGTGAATCATACACCTAATGATGTTACTCTTATACTTAGCATATCTTAGCATCTAGGGATGATAGCTCGGATGTTAAGGGTCAAGCACTTGCTGTCGTGGCATCTCCCCTTCCGGGCAGCGAGAAGAAAGACACCTGAGGGCACAGGGTAGCTGTTGTTGAAAAAGCACAACACGCAAACATGACTTGAAGGCATTTGAAGACCCCCAGGGAAAGAAAACCCAGGGAAGGCCCTTGAAAGGCCCCAGAGCTGTAGCTTAGGGCTGCACCTTCACCCCAGGAGTGAGCGGAATGGCCTCGGGACGAGAATGGCGCTGTGACTTGACTAGTCCCGAGTCGGTGCACCGTGCTCATCCGGCCTCATCCCAAAGATATCCATAGGCTGGATGGTAGAGTCCTGGTGCCACTTAACTAACAAGAAGCTACTAGGGGCTCCTGGCGGTACTACTAGGAACAAGAACGCTACTAGTAACAAGAAGCTATGCCAGCCTTGAAGACCCTATGGTAACACCTGCCTTGCTTTGCCAAGCCCGGGGCCTGCTGAAGAGCCTTGTCGTGCGACAACCTATCAAACAATTCAGAGGGGCAAAGGAGAGTTGCGATGGTTGTTAACAACTCCTGTTGCGCGCTATTGTTGAGATTTGCTTTCAAACAATTTCCACATGCTTCCAGGAGAGACCAGGAAAGGTACCTCTGCAGCACGGTCTCGAGCACTTCGAATCACCATCCATTCCAGCACCTCCCCATGCCATGCAGTCTTTCTACAGCACTTCGCATGCGATTACAGCCTCAAAGTAAGCCCTCCCCGTGGAACTAGCCCCGTGCTAAATAAATTCTCAGATATTGAATTGATCTCAGCCTTCCGTCTTTTTCGCACTGTTCTTCGAGTGGGCTCATTTGGCTGCACCTTGTGCAACTTGAATAGTAGCCACATGCCAGCAAAGCGGGCAAACAGGGCAGAAGGAAACGCACCGTCTTAATGTAAGCCCAAGACAATGGCAAGCCAAATTCAACATGCAAAGCTTGCTGGTCAATGAGGTCAATTCGCTCAGCAGTGGGCAGACCATATCGAAGCTAAAGGTACCCTCACGGGCTTCCGTCTGTCCATGCCTGAGCCATCTGTGCATGGGGCATCATCTTCCACTGCAGGCTAAGAGCAACCAGGTAGCATTGAAGATAGACATAAACTTCAGCAGGTGAGATGAGCTCCCTGTCATCCCAATCGAATTACAAACGGAGCAATGAACTTTGCTGCCATCAATGTGAACTTTGATCCGCCACTTGCCTCAAGACCTTGCTCCGCACGGCTCGTTCCGATCTGTGCTGCACCTCCCGGGCTCCAAAGAACGTCTTCCGCGCCTGCCAGACAGGTGCCGATCTAAGCATTAAAAGAAGGCGTAACAAATGCGTATAATAGAGTCAAAATATGTCAAACTGGTGATGGGTGGTTTATTGTCAAGAAGGAAGTGGGACCAGTCACATAGCCTCAAGCACATGTTGCTCATAGATCAGTGAGTCAGTGGTTGTTTGGTGTGTATGTATATATGTATATACTGTAAATATTACTAAATATATATATATATATCTCTCTATATATAAATATATTTATACATACACATGAATACATGTATGTATCTGGTATGATGTCGCCCCTTGTTTCATTGCGTATCAAAAAAACAGTTGCAAGAGGCCTGAGCAAACCTGTCCTCAGAATCCGGTCTCTCTGTCATGTGAGCACCGCCAAACTGCAGTGTGACATCTCCAGCCTGCACAAAGCAGTATCACCAGTAAACTATTAGCGTCCTTGCTTCTAGTAGAAATGCCAGGAGCTACTAGTAGCGTCCTTGCTCCTAATAGCGATGCCCTTTGCACTACAGTAAACTTCTCAAATGATTGCACATGGGTTTCGGCTAATTTGTCGAATCATGTCGAATCCATTCAACTCCGAGGTCACAGAAATCCAGTTGAATGAGTGAAATCGCTCTTGCTCTTGGTCGGGAACTGTGGTATTCTGCGGACTTGGCAAGTGCGGAGTCTCAATCCCAGCGCCTCTCGAGGCTCAGGATGCGCGCCCCAAACCTCAAGAGGGGGGCTCTTGGCCTTAGCCCTGGAGGCAAAGGCCACCGTTGTCCCCGCCTCGCCCCCATCTTCCGAACCGACCGCGCTCACCGCCTCACAACATTTGGACCAAGTGTTGTGGGTCTTCACATCCGCAGGCCCTGGGACCCTGACGTAGTACGCAAGCACAGACTGCCTGTCACATGGTATGGCACATGATTGCTTACTTGAGGGCAGGCACTCACTGAGTGAAACCTTCACATCGAAATCATTGAGCTTGTGTCATGATGGTCCAGCATTTGCCAGCTAATCTGCAGCGAGATGCCCTATGCAAATATTCCTCTTGGCTCTCTCTGATTCTGGTAGCTCCTTGCGCGTGTCCACTTGATCTAAGGGTCATTGAAAATATTGACAACTTGTATCAACTTGTTGATTTACATTTTGGCTCAGAGGTCGTGTCCTCGCATATCCAATGCCTGGGGATCACCTGATTCAATCAGTGCATATCACTGCAGTCCAAGCGTGAGTATGCACTGGTATACCTCGATGATCGATGCGCCTGGACCCGTGGATAGGGCTCCAAATGGACCTTCAAGTCTGCGCGAGTACAAAGCTCCTGAAGTGGGCACCACTCAAAACAAATAAACCAAAGCACCCCAAACGTTCAAACGCCTCTGGGACGTCGGTGCCCTGTCGCAAATCATATTCGGCCTAGGCCACAGGTGGCATCTCTATTTTCACATGTAAGCGCCGGCCAAAGTTTTTTTCTCTGAGGGGAGCGATGTATCTGAATTGTTCCTAGTCAACGTAAAAACGTGATAGTAAAACAATGTAAAACAATATGTGCACCCTTACGGCATTTCGACTGCCTTCACCAGTTTGTCCCCTTTAATTGCCATATTCATATATGTATATGTATATGCGTATCCGTATATGCATATAATATACATGGTTTGCATGTCCATCTGACTTACTTGCATGTCCACCTCCACTGGTAGAACCGCTGGCCACCAGGAGCTGATACCTCGTCGGACAATCTTGGCAAGAAACATCAAGAAATTCATGTGCTTCACTCGACTTGCTGCCGTCGAGGTACTTCGCGCGGCCGCCCGGCCCTCTCGTGATGCACTTGTCCTGGTGGTTCTACTCCCATCCGGTGAGAAGTCCTCCAGCCCAAGTGTTGTTGCACTACGTTGTACAGTAGGGTGTATGGTGCGCGGGCAGCACTGCTTTTCCCGGCTCAGGGTTGGAATCTGATTGGTCCTCCTTTTCATCATGATCCATGACCTCCACTTGGAAAGGCTGGGAGACATTCAAAACATGCAACTGAGCTGAAGGTGGCCACCCTGAGCCTGAAGGCCCATGGCACAATTGATGGAGACGCGACACCCAGGCTCCGGAAGCTCCACCTTGAATCCCCCTCACGTCCCCATTGGAGAAACTGCATCAAATCTGCGTCGAAAAGGCGCTTCTTCGTCCGACGAAGTCGCCCCTGGGCTCCTGACCCGCTGCTTCCACAGGACCGCGCACTGGCGATGGGTTCGAATGATGCGCTCGTAGACCTGCGGGCTTTTCGGAGCCAAGGCCGAGCCTCATACAAAAAGCTATCACTAGTGTAAATTTATCTGAAAATCTAGGAGCCAAATCATGAGTGCGTGCGTGTCCTGCACCCTAGCTAGGAGATGCTAGGAACTTTCTATTGCTAATGTCCTTACTTATATATTTCAGTAGGCGTCTACTTAATTCAGGGAGCTGTAAACAAACGGAAACCACTCCTGGCTGCCTCTGTGCCCTCCGTCCTCCTCCTCCCCAGTGGCCGTACCTTGTTCTTAGCCACTCGCCACAAACGCCTCTCAAATGGCAGGCGGGCGCCGTGAGACGGCGAGTCAGGTGCTCTTTTAGCTGTAGTGCCACGCATAGGCCAACTCACAATTCAGCCAGAAATGCACAATATAGACTTCCTCTCTTTGTTAGTGCAATCACTTACAGTATACAATTTTCCTGCATTTGAAGAATTGAAGAATGAAACAGAAACAAGATGAAACAAAGAAGGGAAAGCCATGCTCTTTGTGGCGCCTTCCGCCACGACCTCCAAACCTCAGGTGAACAGAACATATCTTGAGAAAAGCTGTCATGTCAGGCCACCTTGTCTCGAGCAAACTCCATGCAACATCCTTGGGCCAAGCAGGGGGCATGCCAATGAAGGAACAAACATAGAATAAAGAATCCTAAATTATAAACAATATATACACACATATATCATATATATATAGTTAAACAAATAGCCACGAAATGCCACTGGCTCGGCTCAACTGTTGACATCCGAACGGTGGCCTTGATCTCGCGTGAAGTGGCTGCAAGCAACACCCAGTCTTGTGGGACGCGTTGTCGCAGGATCTGACCTCCAATCAGCTCAAAATCCACCTGCCACGCGTTCTCCGAAGCTTTCTCAAACCGAAAAAGTCTCAGAACAGTGAGACAAGTCACAAGTCTCCTTTCCTACAGAAAGGGAAACACGGGAGGCAGTGAGGCAGCCACGTCCGCCCACACATGTTTGAAAGGTATTACATTTCTTTGCATGTCATTTGGGCACCGTCCGCGGGAGAAACTCTGAGTGCGGCTGGGGCACAGTGACCAGGCCAGGGTAGTGAGAGACGACAGTGCCTGAAAGCGGCAAGGCTGAACCCTGTCAGAAGCATTGGTGCGGTCTTTTGCCTGGAATTGGCCGTTGACTTTTTCGGCCCTCCTCCACGCAAAAGCTGAGCACCTCAACACGTTCGTAAGGTTTGCAACATCACATGGAAGAAGTCACACACAATGACACACTACAAAAGGGCAGGTGCCTTCAAACCCTTCTGCACCAAACATGCTCGGTGCTTCCAGGACCTTCGTATGCGTCGAGTCAGTATTCTGGAGCAGTTTGATTGCTGTATTCTTCATGGATGAGACTGCTTGGTCACCAACGAAGTTGTAACTTCAGGGGCTTCGATACGCCCTGAATCCAGGTCCACCTGCCAGGTTTGCGAGACTGCAACACCTTGGAATCCAAGCTCTTCTTCAAAGCAAAATGCCACGAGCGACAAATGCCACCAGCGATCTCCTACTGTCATTGAACTAGACCTTGAACATCCAACCTTAAAGTTTTTACAATCAGCAGGTACCTTACCTTCAGCTACAGTAGCAGTTACTGGTAGCCTCAGCTTCATGGCTGGCCTTCTGCCACTCAGCATCTGGTGCAGCACGTACTCGGACTTGCCAGGTGAAATCCAGGAGCCTCTTCAGCACAGCACTGGAAAAAGCGTACAGCATGTCCCCTAAACATCCCTAAACTATTTTGTTCTGAAATCCGAACCAATCGCTGATGTGAACCCCCAGTCCTTCCCTTACATAATGCTTATCTAATACTGTAATCGTGATTACAAATCCAAGCTCTTGCAAGTGGGGGAGGCACGCAACACTGAAAAGGGCGACTATGGGCCAACACCGAGACGAACCATGGTACCTCGCTACAATCACAACAAATGAAATAAAACACTTGTAGTATCGGGATCGAGCAGATTTGGTCAACCCACCCACACACACACAAACACACATACATCACAGTGCCTGGTACCCTGCAGCTGCCAAGAAATGGACACCTTGTCATGTCCAGTACACCTGAGTTGAAGAGCATACTTCCACAAAGTCTTGCGAGTAGGTCAAATCCATTAATCTACTTATGGCTTTGGCTTGGCAAGAGCTTGGAATTCCTGTGATAAGAAGTGACATATCTTGCCATGATGCGTGGCGGTGGGTGCCGGCGGCACCAAATGACTCAGCGGAAGCTCGCCCGTTGCAACTCCTCGGGCGCAAGCAAGATTCGGTGGCCACCCCAAGGGGCCTTATGCACATGTTGCGCAAACTTATATATACAAACTTAGACAGTTCCCGGCCAAAAGGGCTAGAGCTCTGCAAGGGCTGATCGTCTGGATACCACAAGGGCAACCTGACACAGTTGCTACAATCGCCAATTACTTACTGGCAGTTGGGATCTCTTTGCAAAAGGAAGGTGAAGGGAACCGGAGGAAAGGAGCCCCGCACAGTGCCTGACCGGAAGTGGGTCTCGTGTCCCATCATACTCATCCTCAAGTGTTGGGCATCGCTCCAAAAAACGGTTGTTGGTCGCACCACACGGTTGTTCTGTCGGTCCTGTGATGACTCAGAACTCTCCGGATCGGAGCCTGTGAGCTGAGCAAATGTTGAACGCATTTATCATAAAAACTGTTCTGTTTTAAGCCCCGCGGGGGGTAGTAGGCCGCTAGAGGGGGTAGCTACTAGCCATATATATATATACTTAAGCTACTACTGTACATACTGGACGCAGGATAGCTCACGCTTCTTCAAGAAGGCGGGAGCTTGCTTGAAGGAGCGCTCGCACGAATGTTTGATTTGTAGATTCTTTGGGAAACTTAACAAGTAACAAGAAGTTACTAGGGGCTCCTGGAATCGCTACTAGGAGCAAGGACGGGGCTCCTGGCCTTACTACTAGTAACAAGAAGATACAAGAAGCTACTAGTGACAAAGGGCATCACCGGCATGGCATGCCACAATTACATAGCCACTGAGCCTCCCGAGCTGTCGTCACAGGGCGGCATAAATCTGATGGTCCGCTCTCCTTCCTGCACCGAGAGATGGAGCGGTCGCACCCACCGTCTTTCCTTCTGAAATCGGGCAGCCGATGCACCGATGCCAGGAGCCTCTAGCAGCATCCTTGCTCCTAGTAGCGATGCCAGGAGCCCCTAGTAGCTTCTTGTTCCTAGAATCGTCCCTAGCTAGGTCCTGCTTGTGTGGCGAGTTCTCCTCCTGAAGAGGCCACAGCGCCCACAGCGAGAAACACATGTGGAGTTGCATGCATACCACTCGGCCAAATTTTGTCCAGATCCATCGAGCATGCGAATGGCAACCAGCGATTTCGCTTCAAGAACCCCAATGAACCTAACTGTGGCAGGCCCGTGACAGGCAATATTAAGCAGAAATCATCAAGCTTGGGAGCCTGTGAACTTGTACACCTATTGCACCATGGCGTCGAATTAGAAAGCTCCATCACACAACCACTGCAAAAGCAGTTTCCAACATCTCAGCTTCAGCGGGTAGCAGCGGGAACACCTCTTGGTCGGCCTTCTTCCCTGTCAATCTTCTACGTACTGCAGCTTACTCTGTTTGCTGCCCATTTTCACGATTGTTAAGTCATTTCCTCAAAATCTTAGATCGAGCATATGGCGAACAAGCCGTAATGGTCACTGGGGAAGCTGTTTGCACCGGAAATCTTTACTGTCCCAAGTCGAGCAACATAAGAGCCAGATATTTGCAGTCCTCTGGTAAGAATCCGGTCCAGTCGCGCAGGCATGGCATGTGTACTTCCCTGGTTCGCGTGAAATGTGAAACCTGGCGTCTCTGGTGGAATCGTTTCCCTCCACAGGTCAGACCAGCCATCTGGAAGATGCATATCATCTCTCTCAGTTTCGTCAGAGATCCAATTCATGTCGCCCAGCCAAATGGCGGCATCGCAATCTTTCTCCACCATCATTCTGGTCATCTCATGGAGTCCTCCAGAATGCTGAATTACATAAAGAACACATTCACATGCATGCCTTCTTGTTCTTACATGACAGCTGTTGAAGGTTGAGAAGAGTTGACAAAATAAGGTAAACATGGACCAGGTATTGCTCTGAAGGTGCATATTTGAAGAAGTGCATATTTGAAGGTGCATATTTGGAGATCTACACACATTTGTAGATCTAAACATGTATACTGACATACATACAGTACAGTCATTTCCTAGTGCTGGGGACTTCTCTTTCCTCGTGACTGACTAACCGAAAGCCCCTTGAGAGTGTAAATGCTGTATACCAAATCGGCTTCGTGAAAACAATATGAAACGACCATAAACAAAGATTAAACACGGCTGTCATTATTGCTCATTGCAATGCAACAGCATGCAATGGAATATGAATTGTCCAACCTGTCCTTCAGATAGTTGGTGAGCTCGCGTATCTTGACCAGAACGGGATGCCACGGCAGATTCCAAGTGAGAGGTTGCCACGATGATTTTATGGTAACTTCTTTCAGGTGTTTGCATTCCTTCGTCTTCAATTTTCATTGAGAAGACTACCAGCTGTAAGCCTCGAGCCATGGCAGTAATGGAGAAACGAAAACAAGCAGCCTCCTCAACCTGCAAAGTTCTTTTTACTAGCAAACACGTGAAGTAGTTTGCTTCAAAAAAGTACAGGTCTTCCACATGAGCAGGCTCTTGTTTAAAGACCTGCCACTCGCTGGAGAGGTGACCCATCAGTAGTTCCAATATAGTGCTGGTCACTTCTTGCAAAGCAATCACGTCTGCGTCGACCGACTCCAGAATCGCCGCAAGGGCCGCCATGCGGATCTCCCGATCGATTGGGCTGAACCACACGTTGTAAGTCAAAATCCGCAGTGTCTTAGCACAGCGAGCGGGAACCTCGTTTAAACGCATCGGGTCACCGTCGGTGTCAGTGTCGCCCAAAAGGCCTGGGCGGCTTCCTGGGCGGCTTGCCTTGCATCCTAGAGGTCCCGATCCACCACAAGCTGAGTTGACTTCACGGTTTCGGAAGCCACAGGCACATGTCCAGCCGGTTAACATGGACTCCTAGCGTATAGAACTAGGCCAGGCGACCTTGCTCTCACACTTCGTAGGATTTGAGCCATAGCGAGTGCCGGTCAGCATGTGCTCGCCTGTTTTTTGTGGAAATACACCAAGACGATCCAAGACTTAGGGCTTGGTCATGAGGCTGAGTTGGCTAAGATCCAAATGATAGCATGCATTTAGCGTACAGCATTCAATCGTTTGACACTTTCAGCGTCCTCGGTATCTTCATGTTCCTGCTCTGCTTCAGCTTCGAGAGCCTTAAGGCAATATGACCTATAAAGTTATATACCATCCTAATAGCCATGGCCTCTAACCTACTAGCGATGGCCTCCAACAATGAGATGCTCTGTGGATCTCTGTGGTGATGTAAGGTGAACCGTGCCTTCTGTCGCAACACCTGAAGGCGCCTGGCCTTGGAAGCGCCGATTCGAGCGTCGCGTTGGTGCGTTGGTGGAAATGAACACCCAAAACAATGCAGCCTATCCATCACCATGACAGTGATGAAGCCCAGGCCAAGTTGACCGTGGAGAGACTCCAACATGGATTTGTTTGTTGCATCTTTCGTCACCCTTTCGCTTCACCGATTCGCAGTGTCCGCCTGGTTGTGGAGCTTTCTTCGCCGATTCTCCCTTCGCCGATTTGCTTCTTCAAGGGCTTCGAGACGCCTCCTGGACGGGCGTAAGAAACAAGCCATAACATAAACAAACACAAGAACACACGAAACATCACGAAACTGAACCAATGAACAACTTTGTACGAGTACTGCACAAGCTGCGTTTGATCATTTGACACGAAAAGACTCCGAATTAAAGTCCTTCTAGCTAAATCCCTCGCCGACTTGCGTCGTGCTTCTTCTGCAACCTGCTTTCGGGCCTCCCATCAGGCAGGAGTAAGGACAGTATACTATGGTTCACGTTGCCACGTTCAGTCCTCGAAAGAAGGAACCAAAGGCAGGCTGGGTCGAGCAGAGCCTCCTGTGGGCACAAAGCTTTGGGGGTTTGGCTCGAAGACGAGCAGGCCGGCAGGTACCGGTAAAGTAAAGTATATACCATAAATATATTCCGTATAAAGTGTAAACCAGAGCGGGCCCTCTGTCTCCCTCCCTCCTTCTCTCCCTCTCTCTTTCTCTTTTTCTCTTGGGGTCAGAGATTATCATCTCATATATTGTCTGCATGATCTGAGGCACCGGCCCTCAATGAGAGGTTCCTGCGAGCCTCCCTGCGTTTTCAAGAGTACTCAGAACATCAAGTGACTGGCGTTTAAACAAATTGCTCCAAATGCAATGGGGACATAGGTTTTGCAAGAAATGCCTCCCCAGTAGCCACCCTAGCAAGTGCAGCATCCGGAAGTGGCAGCCTTGAATGCTTGAAAGCGCAACAACAGTAAAAACTGTTGGAACTCGAACAGATTCGAACAGTGAGGTTTTGCTTTGAGACCCATGCAGGGTTGCTTGCCCCCTCCTCAGAAGCAAGCAAAAATATGAAAATCACAAAGCCAGCAGCCCAATACCATCTGTATTCATATGTGGAATGCTGCTGCTGAGCAAGCGACGCGCCCCCATAAGTACCTTCAGGCTTCAAGCTGGAGAATATGAACAGCAGGTAGCTACAAGCTACAAAGTGAGTGTTGGAAGATTGTCACTTTTCTGAGTGCATGGGCCATCAGAGTGCCTTCTGTCAGCGCTATCCTTCCAACCACCAACCATGCATGCAAAGAGTGAACACATGACAAATCCGGTGCGTGTCTCTTTTAAGGACCGTCACCTTAGACCTCTTTTTCCTTTTTCTTTCATTTGTTTGGATTCAGATAATATGGCAAACCTGTGACCACAGAATCTTTTGCAGGAGAACGCTGAGGGCTGGTCATACGAAGATGATGTGCTGCACCCCAGCCAGTCGATGCTATGCCGAGCTTTGGGCTGTCTTCCCTGCGGCCCAATTCGTCGCGAAGTTTGCACAATACAGCTAGGTGTATGGATTCGAAGCTGGGTTCCCGAACGCCAATCGAAGTGTTTGCAGAACCTTGCGGCGATGTTCTCACTACACTTGGATGGGCCCTGGGAAAGGTTTCCAGAATTGTCATCTGGTCATTCCCGACCCCCCACGAATACTGTGCTTCAGGCGGCAAACGGATGTCTGCGGTCGAACTAGGCTTTTTGCTGACCTTGATGTCCGTCCAAAAGTGGAAAACTGCAAATATTTATTTGGCATTGCAGCATCTGACTCAGGACCCTGCCGTTTCAGGTTGAAACTGCTGGTTGCAAGCCCCTTTGTCGCACCTGCTGCTGTGCATGGGTTGCTGGTTCCATAGCTAAGTCTCAAATGAAGATTCAAAGTGGCAAGGTTCAGTCCATGGTCTCATCCTGAAAGAACATGGATTTCCAAAAGAGTCCAGCCTCCAGGCCGCCATGGGGGCATTTCTCGCGGTGGGCGGCGGGGCCTGGAATCAACGGTCTGGCAGCTCAGCCGCTGCAGAACCCTGAGCCCGGCCCGTGCCTTACATCCAAGGACTGACCTTTCCGCCGAGACTTGTCGGCCACCTCAGTGATGTCAATCTATGTTTCGAGGGCTGAGAAGGTTCAAAGGAGTTCAATTGCATTCAATGGCACTTAGCATCTCCAACAATTTCCTCAAGCGCGGATCTGCTGTTACGTGCCAACAGGCATGCCTCATATGTACAAAGAAGTGCTTTTTCAGGCTCTATAACTTCTGTGCAAGAAGTCTGGCCAGCGACACGTCCATCCGTCTAGCGCGTCTAGTCTAGTGTCATCGATTCAGATAGGTCGCCTTCAGCTAAGACAGTGAAGGTTTGATCACCGACAGCAAATTGCCCATGGATTCGGTCAGCACCTTGTCCAGGACTTCTGCCGAGGGAGCATTGATTCGCAAACGTGCTGCACTTTCACTGATGGCATGAGGGCTTTTCTGAGCGACTCGCAGTTCTACCATGACATCCGCGGACGGGTTTGGTGGCTGCACTGTATCCGCTGTCGCCACTGCATCCCGTTTGGAGATTGGAGGCGGTTGAGACTTTGCTCTCTCCAATCGAGATTCAAGCCAAGACTTTGGCGCAGGGGAAGCGAATGGATTCTCTGGACCTCCGATGCTCCATACCTGCACTCTTTGATCTCCTGCACACTCTTCGTCTGCATTCGCCGAGTTTCCCGTCTTGAGAGGCTCAACCTCTGTGTAGGGTTTCTGCAAGTGCACAAATCTCCCATCAGCTGAAAAGACTGTGGTGATCTGCTTTCTTTCTCTCACTGAAACCTCAGAGCTCTCATTGGAGCTTCCAGGAACTCGTCTGAAGGTGCCGTTGGGAAAAAAAGGTCAGGACACTGGGCCCACTTGGCCCCTCCACTCTTTGCTTCTTGCATGGCTGGCTAGCGGATGTCATAACAGGCCTCTTTGCACCAAGCCAGCGATGCTAAACGGCTGCGGCAGCCAAAGCAAAAGTGCAAGACATCTGCTGGTGTATGTGAAACATGGAATATGTAACATGTGGAGGACTGAGGGTCCGCATACAGTACTCTTGGCTCGGCTCACGTGCTGACTGTTTCACACATTCGAGTGAAAACATTTGGAGGATTGCATTGAACGCGGCTGAGTCTCCGGCTTTGCGCGTTCGACTAATGGAGGGCCGCTTCTGTTGTCGAAGGGCCCTTGGCAAACGCAGCAGCTGATGTCTGGTTGCTTATCGAGAGGCTGATTATGTGAGTGCCAGTGCCACCAAATAAACACAATGAAACCCAAGTGCCCAAGTGTTAAGAAAACCATTTTGTGAGATTTTCTGCCCAAGTGTCAAGAAAAGCTGAAATCAATTGCTATTCCTTCCGCCCAACATACCCAACCCAGGGCATTGGCATGTATGCTGTTAATACACACGTAATTTGATTGAAACACAGAATTTGTGAATGTATAATCTGAAGTCTGTTCCTAAAGGTCAAAGGTTCCAATTGCCTCTAATCTCTGTAGAACTGATTCACTTTCATACTACATACTCCATTCCCTTTCTCTCCTTGCAGCCGGAGAGCGTTTTGGGCACTTCTGTCGCCTTTGGCGCGTGGCGGCCTCTGTCGTGGCGCGTCACGGCCGTCCCGGCCCGAAGAGTCGTACAGCGAACACTGAGTGGCTCACCAGCAAGTAGAGGCGTCAAGTGAGCCGCTGGAAGATGTTTCCTCCAGAGTTGGTGCACATCCATTCCATCTAAACCCATGCCTACCCACTCGTGCGGCATTGGTAGAAGAAGTGGATGTTGTATGATCGAGATTGCTTCAGTATGGTATGACCTGTAAGAATCATCGTAACTTATGTAGGATTCAGGAACGGTTATGTCCAACGCCTCGTTGGCTCTTCAGTCAGTCCCCGTAGCCGGTTCTCCAAATGACGAGCCTCAAAAAAGGAAAGTCCCTGAGGCAGTAAGGCAGTATATAAGTACTTAGCAGCCAAGTGACCTAGCATTACGATGCGGTGATTGGTGATTCATGCAAGCCAATGAGCAAGCACGTAGAAAAAAGCCTAAGGCGCTGGCCCATGCCCGGCTTCGCTTATCAGACAGTGGAGGCAGTGATGCAAATGGCGGGACATACATGTCCAAGGGCCGGATCTGGCCAATCTGGTGGGGTGCTTTTTCGGCAGCAAGCTCTGGGCAAAAAGTACTTAAATGCTGTGGTATCTTTAACTTGCCGGAAGCATGACACCTAGATTCACGATCTGTGACACTCCAGGGACATTGCCACCAATTAACACTTTGTTTGTCAGGTGTGGCAGTCATCACGGAGTCATCGCCGTGTGTGGAGGGGACCTCAGGTTTACTCGCCCCGCTGTGACCAGACCTGACCGATGGACCGGTGAAGCTCGGCGGCTCCGCCAGGCTCCAAAGGGTGAGACGGCACGCGGTACGGCACGTGACAGGAGTGACAGGAGACAGCGGTGCGAAGGAATTGAATAGTGTAGGTCTAGGTACTTCGCACCGCCAAAGGTGAGAGCTATGCGACAACTTCCTGAATTTCACCTCGGGTTGTTTTCCGGTGCCTTCACGAGTTGTGACTTTGGTGAGCCAAATGTTGCATGCATGGTAGCACAGCGGGTGCATCAAGGAGTTTCACATGCGGTGCTTGCAAACTTGCAGCTGTGCACTTGGGGCCCAAGGCAAACTCATCCTTGCAAGGCTCAAGCTCTAGCAAAGCTACGGACCAGGAGGGCTCCTGAGGCGAGATGCACCACTGCATGCAAGCACAAACCGGCGGCCCCTCGACCCTGCCAGTCCGGAAACAGTCTTTGGATCGCCTCCTTACTCACCTAGGCCATCAATGGCAATGCGCAATTGTCCTCGAATGAAATCATCAACAAACATAAATAATGAAAAAACGGCACCTTGAAAAAATATTCGAATGCACTTGGACCCGTGCACTGAAAGGTGGTGGGTTGTATCTTTTGCCTGTCATTTTCCGCCAACGTGTGCAAAGCCCATTGATGTGTAGGTTTCTAAATTGGCAGGCCAACGATCGTATGGCAACTTGCTCTGGTCGTACTGGACGCCCTGGATCAGGGTCATTTGATTTTCCAAGCCATGACTCTGACATGTTGAGCGTCCGGCAACTAGTAAAATGCGCCCACCTGACTGGAAACTATTCAGAACTCGACCATTCTTCAGCTGCCAAGCTGGCCTACTCGAAGCAAGGAACCAAGGCGCTGTGCATACCTGAGAGCTCGGAGAGCACCACACTCCCCACAATCATCATGCAATTCGCCTATGTGCCTATAGCCTATATATATATATTATATATATTTTATAATACTATATATTATATACATTGGCGTTACATTGGCCTATACATTACTGACGATATACATGTTAACACAACGCCACGTGCCAAACTCCAAGCTTCAATACTGTTCATCAATCCACATCGCGGTCCACTCGGCGACCGGAAAGTGCCCAGGCATTGCCAACATTTCTAAGGCTCGCACTGCGCCCACGAATCTGGAGGAAGCGCTCCCTGAGAAACCATATCAACAGCCAGCCACTCTGCTTTCACAAAGTAGCACAACCTTCTCTCAAACAAAGTGGGCTAGGTCTAGGTCTTTGCTGTGCTACGGGTATGGCGTAGCACCCGAAAGCTACGCAAAGTCCAAGCTGGTTGCTTTCAACCGAGCTGGGCGACGAAACGTTCAAGTAATCAACACAGCACAAACGCCAACCTGGACCGCTGGTTTTTAACAGACGGGTGTATTAGACACTGCACGCTCGAAAAGGACACTACAGTACTGTAGGCGGATGAACAAGCGAAACCCCTGCAGTTTTGATGCTTCTTTATGTTCGAAGGAAACAGTTGTACATGCGGAAACATGACCAGGAGTCATCTCACGTCATGAGTCCTTTGTGATGGGCTCAAGCTCCAGAAATTCATTGTGCACTCGAGGTAGACTCTGGTAGACACAGTTTGCAGATATGTTTAAAGTTCTGCTGATGTTTGGGTTGGATTGACTCTTGCATGCCACAATGCTATTCTCGTGGCCCTGCTATACCCCCAAGAGCATCTGATAATTCATATCCTTTCTTTGCGCACGTTGGGACTGCAATTGTCAAGGCCCAACCCCACCCCAAAGCCAGGATTGCTTGCTAAGAGTAGTGCTTTGCGTTGTGGCTACCTACCACACCGGTATATGCCATTTATCATCGAGCTGCCAAAGCATCTCGATCGTAGATCAAGTCAAACCTGCGGCGGCCCGCGACATTGGTTTGGCCATGCTTAACAAGACGTTTTGCTCAAACATTGCTCGGGAAGCAACAGTTGTGATTGACTGCCTCCCATCAGTCGCGAACGTCGAAGCTGCAAGCAAATCAGGCGTTACGTCAAACCTCATGCTCAGCCAGCTGAAGTAAAGAATCAGTAAACACACAGTCTACCAGGGGCCCTCCAAACCATGAAAAACAAAGGTTTTCACACACAAAAAGCAAGTTTTTTGCTAGGGAAAACCAGGTGTTTGATGGTTTGTTGGGCCCCTGGTAGAGTCTAGAACCAGCCACTGACAAAGCAGCAACATAGGCACTGTGCCTGAGGCCTGAGGTTTTAGCATGTCACACTGCAGTATATGTAAAGGAGCATGCCTCTTTCCCAGGTTCACCTGCGCGAAGCTGGCGCCAAACTTGTCAATGAACCATGTCATGCCATGGGAATACCCTGCCTTCCCTCTCCAAACTGCAGGAGTTTCAGAATAGTATCCCAACCTCAGCTCAGTTGAGGCACACTTTTGCACGACATTGCCACTTCACTTGCCCTCAAGTCTTTGGTGTTACTGTCGGAGAAGCATCAAAGACTCAAAGAAGGAACAAATGCTTGGCCAATGGCCCCTGGTCGCCAGTCTTGAAGACAAAACCTTTCCTCTCCGGCATCAGCGTAAACAGGCGAGAAGTGCACGGTAGGGGTGCGCATACAATTTTGATCCATCTGCACTCTCCTTGCTCCTTGGAAGCTGGTTGCCGGGATGAAGGTGCTGCCTTCTTTCCATCCTGTCAAGTTGTCGAAGAGTGTCGAAGAGTGTCGGAAAATTGAGGAGAGTGAACAGCAAAGTAGCTGACCATCGCCGTCATTTGACCAAATCGTTTTCGACTTTAGGCCTTTCACCTGCAAAAATGACGGAACAACAAGCTGCAGCAAGCTGCACGGCAAAGGGTTTGAGGCATACACTGAGTTGAGGACTCTAATCTGATGTTCTGCCTTGAAATCCAAGATTCCTCGTTGAACACCCTGAGGCAGGGACCAACAACGGCCAGTGCGCTCATGCAACATGGAGACACATCACAACGGTCCAATATGCCTCAACCCCAACAACGCCATAGCCCACTTCACACAGGTATGGCCTCAAGTCTCTGAACGAATTTGATCTGGTTTCAATTGCTCACCCAGACTTAAGTGCCGGTCATATCAATTGTTTTTCCGCAAAGCGGCACGAGCACTTTTGGGGCAGTCTTTGCCTCATAGCTCCAAGTTTTCAAGTGCCAAACTCCCCTTCAGAATGCTCTGGAGCTGGCAGTGTCTGGCGAAGCCATTCCTGCTGTCCTCGGCCACTTGCAAAACTATATAGTGATGCCGTAATAATCTTATCTACGTTCGCTTGCATACTCTAGTATTCCTGAGACCAATTCCACCGAGAGAGGTGCTTCTCAAGGAAAGGGTTCACCTGCATGTCCCACCATCGGTCGTGATGAGTCTATTTTTGGCTTCAGATGTGCCCTCACTTATGCTGACCAACAGCCTCAGACTGATGGAAAGCAGGCGAAACGCCTTAGTTACGGGTAGGCAAACACAACATGCAGTGTCTACAACGTAACTTCATTTTTGCAAGTACCAAAGTTGGCCGAAGTTGACTGAGCAAGTGAACCGGCTGGAAGATTCCAGAAAACTCTGGACCATCTGCACAGGTAGAACACTTGAAAACTCATCGTAACTGCTTCGGCACATCACCGGGTGCCTCTTGAGACGGTCAACATCACCCTGAGGCGAAGTTTCAAAGTAGCAGTTCGCACTGCTCCTTGGCAAACAGTTCAGCAACCTTGAAAAAGGCATTCAACATTGACGTCGTGCGTCTAAAGCGCCTTGCGTCCGCAACCATTGATATCGCCTGCAATACGTGGCCAATAAATATATATGGTATATGTTTAAAGTTCAGGCGCTTCTTCCACAAGAGAACGGAAAATGCTGGACCGCTTGACTCTCTCAGATGTGGACATCTCCCTCACACGGCGCAAAGCGCATTTCAAACGGGAGGGAGTGACCAGCGCACCAGCTGCAGCTGCACACAATAGCCGAACCTGTCACTCTCGGTTTCGGGCAAGATGACGTGGAATCTTGGCTCATCCAATCAAGCACGTCCCAAAAATTGAAGCGCAGCCTGGCCTCGTCAACAGATTGATGGCAAGGGTGGGCTCTTATGTGCGACATCCTGAGGCAGGAGGTTCGGCACCAGTAGATTCAAGAGGTGGAAGTCTGGGTCCACCATGGTCCAACTAATTTGACGAATGCAATACCAGGCATGGCCTGCATGAAAACAGGCGCAAGCTAGTTGGCAAAGCACATCTTCCTGGCCACAAAGCTGCGCTTGAATGGCTTCTTGTTGAAAAAATTGTTGTATTTGAGGCACTTCGACGAGTGGGGTTCCATAAAAATGCATGTTAAACTTTTCAGTGCTGCGCTGTGCTTGCTGTTGAGCGGGCCAAGTTTCTGAAGGAATCTCTACACCAGCCCAAACCCATCACTTGTCGTTGGCGCGCGTTTCAGACTCCGCTGCGGCAGGCTTCGCAAGGTCCTGTGAAGCCAAAGCGCTGAGGAGGGCACTGTGCATCTGTCACTTTTGAACTCTGTCGGCCTGAAAGCTGCCATTGCCAAGACCTGAAAGCTGCTGAATGCGAGGAAACATGAGAGTTTACAAGTTGGGAGGCTTGAAGTTCTAAGGTCAGCCTCCAGAGATGCAAAGCCGAGACTATATCATTGTGCTGGAGCAGCACAGTCGAGATTTGAGCATAAATGCAACCAAAAGTGCAACAACCTGATCTGCGGCAAAAATGCCTGACATGCTGACAGCAAGTCCTGAGTGCGTCCTTCGATACGTTTTGCTCCCAGCAGTCAGTAGAGTGGCAGCTCACCAAGGACTTCAGCGCAGTTGCTCACTAACACCTCACCAAAAAAATCAAAAAGTTATACCAGCATAGACCCCAAACAGGTTAGTCGGTAAGACTTGTTGTTCCCTGCCTCCAAAAGCAGCGTAAAGAGCACGACAGCAGGAGGACATGAGGACAACAAAGGACAAAAAGATGAAGGACAAGAGGAGGATAAGAGGAGGACACAGGGTTGGCCAGCGCGGCCAGGGGACAACAGCAGGACTAGAGGAGGACAAGACCCGGACACAGAGCCCGGACACACAGCCTGGACACAGAGTTCAGGGGCGCGGCCAGCCAGTGTGGCCGGCCCTTTTTTCTAAGAGACAACCCCAATGTAAACTGTTTTTGGAACAAACGCAAATGACACAACATGACACAACGAGGGTGGTCACAGTACTGCAGGAGCGTCATGGGACGAGAACATCCCATGAGTCACTTTCTTCCCATTTCAGTCTCCAGCTGCCACTGGAGAGTTCCGGCTACCAGTGCCTGCAGAGTGCAAGGCGGATAGGAGTCTCATGGCATTGACATGTCATGAACAGCTAAATGGGGATGCACTCTACATTTTGCAGGCCTGCTTCGTGCATGCGATCTAGCCATCTCCTCAAAGGTCCACGCCATGCCTGTCATGGAAAGGAACATAGGCTTTCAGTGCAGCCTCTGTGGGATATCAATTGGCAATCATGAGACGAGAGCATCTTAAAGTAGGTTACAGCTACGCTGATTCCATCGTCTGCTTCTGTGCCGTTGCCAATGCCTTTCTCTACACCAGTCTACTGCATGTGTCACACGACACCGGCATGGCGCACCCTCAGGCTGCGTCTTTCCAGCGCATCCTACAGGAAGAGACAGCATGCCCGAAGCAGTGCAAATGGCACTCTGCCTGCAGCTGCACAGTGGATCTCTCGAGCTGCGTGACGACCAACTCTGCCGCTTTGTGCAATAGTTCGGCCATCCTCAAGCCAAATCAGCTTATCGGGTGGCAATAGTATGAAGATGTGAATGCTCAGCCGTAGACGAGGGGAGCAAGTTGGAGGTCGGTTTGGAGGTTGCAGCCTGCCATGCCATGGGGTCCATGAGATTTCTTGAGCGCTGGAGAGCCATGCCTCTACCGGCACTCGAAGTAGTGCAGTAGCCAGGAAGTGCACATTGACTGGGTGCCCCTCAGAGAGGGTGCACACCGCTTCAGGAAGTGCAACATGTAGCATATGAATACATATGAAGGGATCTGGCAGATTGAAGGGAGCCGACTCCTAGCTCTTGCCTTAGTATCACTGAATATACTTAGATTGCACACAACGATCCTTGGTCAAACAACTCTTGAGAAGTGCATACAAACATCAAGTGTGTATATATATATATGTATATAATGAGAGCGGATTGCGCTGGGGGGTGGGTTTTTAATTCATAGGTTTTTTTAATTCATAGGTTTTTTAGCGATAGCCATTCTCACGGGCTTGCTGATCAATGGTCATCTTCTTCTCGAACTTTGGTTTGATGATCCAAAGGCGCAATTGCATCCCACCCATGCGATCAAGCATATAATTGAAAGCAGACAGGCCTAAACGCACCTGCTGGCCCCAATCGAAACGGAAAGGATGACCATGACAAGAATTCATGCAATCCTTGGAGAAGACTTTATTCTTATGCAAGTAGATGTGCTTGAAGATGTCCACAAACTTCTCATCAGGATTAGGAGGATCAGCGGCTGGCAAGATGACTATCTGCATGCTATAGGGGACTTTCGGCTCTTCTTTCATGTTGAACGGAGGTGGAAGTTCACTGTACTTCTCCTGCGCACACAGTCGGTAGAGAGTGTTGTCCAAAAAGTCCTGCGTCACATTGAGCTTGTGATTGACAATCACATCAGCATACTGTTCGACTTTGTGGCCCATACTGTCCATGTTGCGAAGAGGCAAGTCACCGATCGTCACATCGCCCACAGGACGATCAGACTTCAAAGGCCTGCGTTCGGGACCAATAAGCTTTTGGCCATTGACTTGGACTACTGCTTCGGCAAATGTGAGTTTCCCGTCTTGGTCTCCAAGGTCTCTGTTGAAACCATCCCCTGCACCAAGCTGAAGTGCCATGGTAGGTGACAATGAGCACAAAGAAGACGTCAGGAAGCGGATGAGAGCAAATCAGATTTGAGAGCAAAATCTAGCAGTGGAAGAATCAAATGACATGGAAGTGACATCAACTACTGCAGGGACATGCATGAAAAATACCTTCAATGACAGAAGCCAGCAAATGAAGATCTTTTGTGAAACATTGCTCAGAAGTTGCATATTCAATTCTGACGTTCCAAGGAGATGAGATGTAGAGGTTCAGAATGCAGCAGATAAGAGGATGACCTGTCAGGAGTTCCAGATGCGTTGATAAGTGCATTTCTCCCAAGGAGAAAACAACACTCAAGAAAATAGAGAAGTCTGCAGAGGACCAAAAAAACCAAAAAAAACAAAAAAAACAATTTTCTGAGACTCCTAGGGAAATAAAGAAGTCTGCAGAGGACCAAAAAAACCAAAAAAAACAATTTTCTGAGACTCCTAGGGAAATAAAGAAGTCTGCAGAGGACCAAAAAAAACCAAAAAAAA